CAACTGGCCGTCCAAGGTGTATGGTCGAGTGGCTGGACATCTGGTGATACTGATGAACTCTGACTTGCTTGCGTTAAGAGGGAGCTGCATTTCAGTGGACTACGTTGACAGTCGCTCTAAGTCATGCTGGAGGCGAGCGCAGTCGTCCTAACTCTCAACGATCCTCCAGATTTTCAAATCATCTGCAAATAGGGACATGATGACTGAAGCTGCTGCGAAAGATCGTTGATATCAATAAGAAATAATACTGGCCCAAGTACAGTTCCTTGAGGCACGCCACTGGTCGATGGGAACCAGTCTGTCAGGTAATCATTGACCTGTACTCTAAAGCTTCATCCCACAATAAACTCGTGTAACCACTGAAGTAATGTGCCACCGATTTCGTATGTCCTCAGTTTACGTAGGAGTACCTCGTGGTTCATTCTGTCAAACGTCTTACTAAAGTCGATGTACACTACGTCAACATCCCTCTGTTCGTTGAGAGCTCATACCCACTGGTGGTTTGCGTACATCAAGTTAGTGATGCAGGATCGCCGTTTCGTAAAGCCGTGTTGCGCTGACGTCAATACGTACATCGATTCGAAGAACGACAGCAGACATCTTTTCACAACATTTTAGAGAATTTTGGATAATACCGAAGTCAAACAGATCGATCTATAGTCCTCTATTTTACTCGGATCACCACTCTTGGGAAGCGGTCTCACTATCGAGCATTTCCAGTCGTTTGGTTTGCCACACCTGAAGAGATGATAATCGATATGGACTTGAGTATTAGTGGGTGAAGTTCGTCTGGTCCGGGGGGCTTTGCATCACCAACGTTGACGAGTAGCTGATATACTTCGACTGCATCACATTGTAGGCTGTCGAACAAGACTGGCGCAACCTGTGCCGGTACTGGAACAGTCGCCGGTTTACTGGAAAACACGGTGAGGAAGTGCGTAGCCAAGGCGTCCGCGCTTGAAATGAGCGTCTGTCCGTCCAAGCTCTAAGACCGGTAGGTCGCCCCCAGGTTTCAGTTGACATTTCAATCAGACAAATATGCTTGTGGGTGTAGTTGTGACCAAAGTTGCTAGCTCGTCTTCTAACTGCCGGCGTTTCTAGATCTTTGCGGCGTTACGCTGTTACTTTTAGACCGTGGAATCTTCCTCACAACCCGAGTTGATGTATCTATCCCAAAGTTTGCGACGCCGTCGCGCTAACTGTCTATATTCCGTATCAAACCAATGCGGTTTGACAGATCCGATTTTTGAATACTTAAGGGGAACGAACCGAGTACACAGCGAGTTAAGCTTCCCCTTTATTAATGACCACCACGCCTCAAGTGACGCATCATGTGGTAGTGTCCAATCAGTCTGACTTGCGGCTTGGACGAGCCCGTTGAAGTCCGTCTTCCAATAGTTGAATGTCGGCTTCCGTTGATTGTAATACGGTAACGACAGTTTTAAGCTTGCCACAATGGAGCAGTGGTCACTGTTCGCCAGAGGTTCGATGACTCTGATCTCGTTCAGTTTCTGCTTGCAGCTCATAAATATTAGGTCCAGACAAGATGCCGAGTACGGAGTTACGTGCGTCGGTTGGATGACATGTTGCGTTGCCCCGATTTCAATAGTCATTTTAGTGAATAGAGTCTCAACGTTGCGATGACCGGAAAGAAGTCGAACGCCTGGCCAAAATATCCTAGGTAAATTTAGATCCCCCATCAGTAAGAATTGAGGGAAGCTCATGTGCTTCTGTACATGTGGTAGCCAATCGCAACAACGATTTAATGGGCTCCGGTAGATAACACCCACTATTAGTTCTGCGCGCCTGAGGCGGATTGTGCACCACAATTGCTCGCATAAACTATCCTCGCACCGATAGGTGCTGGTGAGTTTGCCAGCTAGTGACGATTTTATGTACAACAGAACACCACCGTGAGCCTTTGATTTTCGGTCGCATCGGAAACAAGTGTGTCCTGACAACACGACTTCTTGGGATATGACGTCGGAGTTCAGCCAAGTCTCTGCAAGTCCTAAAACGTCCGGCCGCTCCGAGACAGCGAAGCGGCACAGTTCGTCACGTTTGTTCATTAGGCTGCACACATTGGCGAATGCCACACGGAGGTCCTGCGGGAGGTGCTATGATGTTGAGCAACCGGTTGATACGGATTCGTACACCCTTCTTGATCATCCGAAAATTTACAATTCGTAAGTCAATCTCACTTTCCTCTGTACGGCGTTTGAGCTCAATGAACACAGACTTCAAATGATCCCTATCTTCGGATTCCAAGTCTCGACGGATGTGAACTTTTATGCCTTTCAGTCTTGACAGACGAGACAGTATGAGCTGAGGCATATTGGCATTTGCAAAGGTGATTCTCAGCGGTCAACATGACTAGTTAGTTTTCTGGCCAAACCGGATTACTTCTTAACCGTCACACTGTCTTCGCCCACATCCAAGAGTCTATACATGAGACCCTGGAGGAACTCAACATTGTGATCATAACGTATCTGAGGGTTTCATCTTTTGACTCGTACGTGGAAGACCATGAGATTATGACGTCTCAGCGAAATCAGTAATGAACATGTGAGAGCAGAACTAGAGGCGCTTAACTGATTGCGCTGGTGTTTATCAACAGGTGAGGTCTAAACTCGATTAGGTGGCCCCTTGCGTGTTCGAGTTCTTCATGGATCCTCGGCGGTCAGAAGTTCACAGACAGGCTCTGAGAAATTCACGGACTGATCAGTGAAGCGGCATTTCGTAGGTTCCGAGTCTGAGTCTTCCCTCGGTGGGGAACATTGAATCTGAGGCTCCGCCGGACAATAGAAGGCGAGGTGACAGAGGTACTTTCATGAGGGCGTTTGATCTCACGTGGTGAACGGTTCGTTTTTATCTGAAAGAGATTTTCCCGTAGTTGTTTGCGGTCGTTGCCTATTCTAATGTCTTGTACCGGGACATTTATCACATATAACTTGAAAAAACCGATGTCGGATGTCGAGAGATTTTCGAAACACGTCAACGGACAAGCCAATGCACGAAATATGGAACAAAACATCACAGCCGAAGCACCGAAGTGCATGAGCCTTATCTCCCACAACTTTCGAACACGAACCACAAGCAGCTTGAGACTGCATCACAAGCTAGAGCAAATGCAAGATGGCCGACAGAGATGGCGGTAGGGTAAATCAATTAGATCCCCGGAAATAGCCAAAGAGTAGCCGCCAAATTTGCACCGCTTAGAAAATACGCCAAAAGAAGAATATTGGTGCACAATTCACACAGGAAAAACACTGGTAACAGTAATCTGAAGCAAAAGTAGTATCCAGCAAACGATGATCCAAAAATCCGCGACGTCCGTGGGTACAACCACAGACAACAGATATTGAGAGGGGTTCTGATAAGATAAATGCGAGAGAACTGCACTGGCGTGGAACGGACTTTTGACGAGCATCTGCTGAACGTGCCTATGCAGCTCAGACATTCAGTGCGGAGCTGCAAAGCTGAGTTTGGACTATTGTGATTAAATAAGATTGATGCGGAGTTGTACTCCTCTCTGTAACAGCATCCCAAGGTGTGCTTGCCTTTTTGACTAATGGATACGGCTAAAACTGAAAACATGGTCTGCTCGTGGAAAAAGTGCACGCAAGGTTCCCTTGAGACAGAACTAGGTGTTTTAGAACAAATTTCCCTAAATTGCTAGCACACGTGGTTCGCATGTACAGCATTAGCAGACAAGAAGTAACTGATGGTTTCGATGCGCATCGAGGTCGGTGTGCCAATCAGCACACGTATGGCGAGGAGTCAGGAGCAGATATAGAGTACCCTCGTCCTCGTCCTCGTCATCTGCGCCAGAAATAGTTTTGGATGCTTCCCGCAAATACTTGGACCCCACTGCACCACGGATATCGATGTAACCTGGATGTGTGAATGTGACTGACAGTAATGTTAACTACTTGATATCATTTAGAGAAAATTTCCTACATACGAGTAGCGTGTGGCGTTGTGTAACACAGTGCTAAACCACTAACCGCATCCGGATGCAAGTAACGACTCATCGGTCCCTACTGATGAATCACTTTTGTTCAGCTGTGAAATGTAACAAATGGTCGCATATGAACGAGTAGTCGGACTCCATGTCATATGTGCGTGCCGAATTCATTTGCTTCCTAGTATCTGGTTGATCTTACCGAAGGCACTGTGTGTCAGTCTAATGCCAAGCTAGTCAATAACCAGACTGTTCACTTGCCTCCTATTGACTGGACTCACCAGCGTCAGTACGTGCCAACTTAATAGCAAACTAGCCACTGTGCGAACCGCTGTGTTTGATGCTAGATATGACACATTTGGTGTACTGCCGAAACTGCCGTGTTCTGCTGTCTTGTGCTACGAATCGAATATTGCGTTCCACTGAGAGAATAGGATGTGAAGTGCATAAAATGACGATCAGCTGCTCGTTTTGAACTGAAACACTGCACGTCTAGAGCCCACAATTGGCCAATTGTATTCTGCTAATTGGAGCTGAACAACCTAAAGCTGCCAGAGAAACACTGCACAAGCAAAAACAAAAGGAGCAATCACTACCGGACCAAGCACCGCCAGACCAAAATGAGTTTATAACCGGAATAAACGGGAAAACCACAACACCATCTGACCAGCCCGTCCCGTAGCCTTAAGGATCACAGGCTTGACTTGTAACCCGAGGGCGCGGGTTCGAGCCTGCCCTTCGCAGTATCTATAGCCCACCGGCGACTGGCGGTGGTTGCGTGGCAGCTAAGTGTCGCTACTGCGTACCGGCGTACTGCTGACACCTCTACATGGGGGACGAGGAAAAGTAATGAATTGATGCAGAGAATTAGGCAAAAAAGCTTCGATTGAAACGCCATTCTACTACACAAACCAGGCTGATGAACCCAGCACTCTGCATCATTCTACTTCATTGGCTGGGTTGAATGGCGAATCGACGTTAGCGGACAGTAGTAAAGCAACACAAAATGTACAGAGTGATAAAGACAAGTTTTTACCTCTGTAGTAAGGCTACTGGACAGTACATGGGCACCGATCTGAAGGCTTGTGATCCTGCTAAGTGCAATGTATACTCGCTTGTAGAAACCGGGAGGAACGCGGTTGAGCGCTCCATCGATTTTGCGTCTTCTACTCCACAAGTTACGCATCTCCATGCCACGCACCTCGCGAGCCTCCTCCACAACAGACATACCACCCAGAGAAGGAAGGCGACTCAGTATCGAACGCTGATTCATTGATGTACGGCGACTCAATGTGGACTGGTGGGATTTCAATGCTTCATGTGTGGCACGAACCTAGCAAATGGAAATACGTTGAACAAGTTCATTTGAGATGTGTTGTCTCGCTCAACTTCGGGATGAGGGTAGCAAATTTACAGTAGCACTCGCATAAGCTATTAGTTTTCCAAACATGTGTATGGTGGCGAGTTCAAGTGAACAAAAATGAAACAAATCACCCACAACAAAGTGGATGGGGCTAATCGCATATCTTTTCGGCGTGCTCTCCAGCGGAGTTCCGATGCAATGCCATTAAAGAGGAATACTATAAAAAGACAAATCGTCCTTCGCACCGTTGGAAAAATACAACGACCGTTGCCGTGGACATACAATTCCACGCGGGTCACTTCAAGCACAATGGATTTCTGCACAAATGAGCCAAACAAGATTATTACCTGCGCGATACCGCACTCCGGCATAGGATTTTACATTGTAACAATTGGAGTCCATCAAAGGAGACGGTTTGATGAACCCAAACTAACTATTAGCATCCGGGCATACACATTGCAAGATGAACGAACATAGAATATTTCCATGTCATTTTGCACGTTAACATAACTCCGACGGGGCACCCGGAGACCCAGTTCACTCCATATGTCTACGGGTGATGATATCGACTCATTGGCGAATGAGGTGGACGGCTCTAGTGTCTACTGGAATTGCCCCTTATAAGCAGCGAAATAAGGCATCCGGATGTGACTTCTCACTTTGGGCAGTTTTCCAGAATCGTGGGTAGATTCTTGAGGTGTTGACTAGCTTGCTTGTTGCGAGAAAGATGGTTTTGCCAAGAAACCAATACCACAGCGTTTGCAAGACTGACAGGGAGTGCTAAGAGGTGACAACGGTTTTTGAGCTGGAGAATACTCAATTTAATGGGGCATACAAAACACTTGCCCATTTCACTCTCAGCGCATTTTCAAGTAAATCGTTAGTTAGGGTAGCGAATGATGGACAGTTGACAATTGGGTGAGTTAAATGCACGGTTACAGGAAAAATGCTAACAGCGTTTCAGTGACTAGTTCGTATCACTTTTTTTAATCGTTGGAAGTTATGCGGGAAGTTAATGTTCGAGGAAGACTTTATGTGTTGAAAGGAAACACGGTGCATTAGTCAGACGATTTACTGCTACCATTTCTAAATGGTGGTATAAGACCTGATTGTTGACCAGTCAGGGTTATTCAAGGTAGCTTCTAGCTAGTGATTGTAAATATTCGTCCAAATGTCTGCAAAGGGTCACAACAAGTAATCAGAGAAGGACTGCGACATTAATCTCGCTGTCATTGCCCCACCCCCAACTCATCTCCATAATCATGTTGGTCTACTCAATGGTATCATATAAAATCGAACGTCGGCTAGTTTTCGCTCTATTAGGTGAGGTAATAACGCGTTTAAAGGAACACTCCCATGGCTTTTATTAGTTGGAAGGTTAGATTTAATTCAGTGGATCCGAACAGTTCACGGTTAGTCAGGGAATATCTTTTTGTACGCAGCGCAATACTTTCACGGATTATATGTAGACAGCTGAGAATAACCGAAATACTTGAATTAAGAACTTCCTGTTCGGTTTTGTTCCTTGCTGTGGTATTGAAAGTTGACGGGAAAAACCTTGTTAATACGAAATCTGACAACCGCTACTGCCGACATCGATATGTGGGGAGCACCAGAGCCGTCCAATTTCTGATCGGGAAGATAGTACATAGAAAGAGCTAACCACTGCCTTTTGAAATAGAGGTTTCAGTGGATGATCTACTGATGAACTTGAAGTAGGTCGCCAGCGAATTTGGAATGGTTCGGAAAGGATCGATGTACGACATCTACAGAATAGACTAACCCTACGCCGCCGCACGCTCTAGCGCGTGATATGATCCATCAAGCAATAAGATGCTGCTAAGGAACTTGACTGATGCACTAGCAGATTCCACTGCTGCCGATCAGCTATTAGATGCATTCAGATGGTAAATCAATTCAGACAGCTGTGTTACTAGTGGCTACCGCAGCGTTTCGGTAAGAGTCGAACGTGCGAATCCACAGTTAGGGCGTATGTCCTGCAGATCTTGCTTTCTGGATCCGAGGCCTCGCTGCTAGTTAGGTTAGTGCTCAAGTGCAATCGCCAGAGGTTGCACAGCGGTGCAACAATTGTTCGAACTACTGCCATGCCACTCTCTACAAGTGTGCAGACAGGGTGCGCAGATGCACTGTGCCGGGTGCTGCTGTATGTTCGGCAGACATGGCCACTGAACATCGAGGACATGTAGAGACCGAGAGACTTTTGTTTCTCGAGTCTGTGTGGCACCACCCACCAGTTGGTATTCGGGAACAAACCTATTGTGACATAACTTGATCTAACAACGGTTTAGTAAGCCAAGTATTGTCCCTCATGCACCTATGGACTGCCTGTCTCGGTTCAGACGTTGCACCTGTTACATTGAAGCGATACGACTGGTAAACAAATATGAAGCATACTATGCGGAAATGGACTGGGAGGACTGGTTGTACCAACTTGTTGAGAGGAACTGGGATTAGGATACGCCAGCGGTAGAGACGCCATCGCACATGGCACAAGTGTAAATTTGGTGCACTACCGCAATGACTCTTTTCCTACATTCCCCAGTTGCATCCCCTCTAGTTTCCAAAACGTTATTATTTTATCAGCACGACGATGTGAATCATGTCTGAAGGCAGCAAAAATGGCGAAAAGATGAGTGAGAACACGGTGAAAAAGACCGAAACTAAGGATAAAACACACAAACTTACATTGGTAGACTTGCGACGAATTGTGCGGGCTGCCAAGGTCGTTACGAATTGCCATGATGAAAAAAGAATGTTTGATAAAAAGTGTAATCATAACTCCTTTAGAGTTAACATTGAGAGTGAAACATGGACAAGCCAGTGATCGTGCACATAAAGCCTCACACACGCGCGCACACTCACGCAGATAGGACTGAATGGGTAGTGAAGGCGTTTCAATGTTGCTCGCTACCAAAGCCCAACTGTTGATATGTGATGACCTTCCACACCAAATATGCGAAGGCGTTGGGAATAGTTGAAAACACTACTACTTGAGCCCTGCAATGCTGTTCAACGAACAGTACACTACTCATAAAAAATCCACAAGTAATCTACCATCGCCCTTTGGACATCAGAAGGACAGGTACTTCGGTCCATTGGGAAGTGACGAGTGAGTGAGCGAATCTGCAACACCAGGAGAGATACTGTGAGCTCACTGGCAATACGTCACGCACCAAGCAGAAGTCATGTATTAAATTGTGCACCTGATCGTCAGTCCTCGGTAGCTCAGTGGTAGAGCAGCGAACCGGTAATTCGTGGTACCGGGGTTCGATTCCCCGTCGAGGCAGATTATTGTGTGAAGTTTAATCGGGACTTCTACTTTCTACGAGCATTACACTACTCACAAAAAATCCACAGGTAATTGTGACTTTAATGAGTTGTAGTAACAGACTTTCCAAATGCAGTGCGATTGATGCTAAAAACGAATTGGTTACTAACAAACGTCCAATCCCGGGAAAGACCTAAAGTTCACTCGCTTGATATACAAGAGTTTAATGGAGCAGCCAAAAAACAGATAAAAACAATTAATGTTGACTCTGTTTATATAGCAACAAAGTAACCGGTTCAGGTAAAAGCCAGCCCAACTGCTAAAACGAGTAGCGGAAAGCAGGCTAGGTCGACCTTTGAGAAACCAAGAAACACACTACTAACGGGAAATTTAAAGATGTTTCTAATATATATTACTGACCAAAACCGCCCGTCAAAAGGAGACTGGACCTTAATGTGGTGCGATGGTTCGCGTACCTACCTGACCCAATGAGCTATACTGGCTGGGGCTTCCGGACACTTTGAGAACCTACTACTAGGTTGGTCAATGGCTAGAGGTCAGTCGAACTCAGTTTCCTGGTCCTCCAGGTTGGGGGTTTGAAATGGGATGGCATCCGTTTTTGTAAAAGTTAAACATTGCCACCACTTCGCCGCATTGTGGACAAGATTTCGGGTTAAAGGTTTTGGCTGAGGACCCTAATTATCCATCTCTCTAAGTCTGGGCGCCCTGACAGTAGCTCAACTCACATACAACTGTGACAATTTCTTCAAACTTCAACAAGATCCTGCATCGGCCGTTGCACAGATTACCAAGGGTCGCCTCATCCGCTGCATACAGAAGGACGAATAAGCGAAAACATGCTGCTGCTGGCGCCTCTATTCTTCTTTTTCCACCTGTTTTTCTTACTCCCTTCCCAGCCTCCATTACTAATCTTACTTTTACAGTCCCCAGCTTAACTGACAGCAACAACAATATCACTGGAACCGAACCATCTGCAGCCACCTTCCCGCAACATCAACTGGATGCCCATCGGCAACAGTCCCTTATAAGGCCAAGCAATCCCGTTTTCCTGGCGGCATTCAACATTCGCACTTTAAGACAAGTGGATCAACAGGCTACACTCACATGCACGTTAGAAGTGCTTAGTATTGACGTGTGTTGTGTCCGCTTGTGCTCCCACCGACTGCAGTTCTAATGCTGTCAAAAATACATTCTGTCACGAACTGAACACACTACTACGCAGTGCCACTAGTTCAGATATTATAGTACTTGCAGAGGATGTGAACGCACAAGTAAGGCGTCTGAACTCTTCAGAAGCTCAGCTAGGTGGTAATTATGGGCTTAAATACGAACAGACTGACAATGGCGAGCGTCTGCTGCAACAGTGTGCGGAGCGCCAATTGTTTCTTAGTAGCACTGCTTTTAGACACAGTGGGGGCCGAAGTGCCACTTGGCGTCCCCCTGTAGCTGGCCAGCGATGGACCCAAATTGACCATATTGCCATAACTTACAAGTGGCGTTGTTCCATCCTAGATTGCCGCTAGTACTGGCATACCTGCGTCGGCTCTGATCATGCCTTGGTACGTTGTCGTTTTGCTGATTTTTACAGGGAAGCGTACGAAGCGCATCCTTCGATTGGCAACTGAGAAGTTATCTCAGCCCTCGGTCAGACAAGCGTACTAGGATGCACAGCGTACTGAACTTTGCTCTCCTGTCCCAATGACACTGAGCTTCAACAAGCAGGAGCCTGCGCTTGCAGCAGTATCAATCGTCACCGCATCAGTCACTGGATATCCGAGAGGTCGGTGAACCTGTTGGAATCCAGAAGGAAACTCTGAGCTGGATCTGAGCATAGTATTAGCAGACGGCCTATTAGGTACAAACTAAAGCGGAGGCTGTGTGCTAATAAGGATATTTGTTGGACCAGTCGGGCTAAAGAAATGCGGGACGCGGGAGTAATAGGTAATTCCCGCAAGCTATTCTAGCTGGTCCGTACCACTGGGCACAGGGAACCAGGTGGCAGTGAGATAATCAAAGACAGCGCGAGTGCACTGATACACAAAAGGGAGTGCCGTTTGGCTCGCTGGGCGTAGCACTTTCATGATCATTTCAGTTGCCGCCTGCTTCTGGACCTCTTCCTGCTGAGGTATTGCTGGCTGAGCCATGGTCACTCCAACGGATGCTGAGATCCAAAACACGATCGCTGCCTTTCAACGTTTTCGTGGTGGTGGGCCGAAATCGCTAAGAGCAGCACTATTTAGGGTTGATGGTGAGGTCCTCTGCAAGGCACTGACCTCTCTGTTCGAACAGGTCTGGAAGTCACAGGCCATCCCAAATAACTGGTGTATTAATTCAAGTGGCGATTTACAAGAAAGGCAATCGCAGACTATTCTGATCACAGGAATATTAGTCTAACGCTGGTAGTGACCAAATTATTGGCTTCAATTCTCATTCGTTGTCTCACTGAGGAGGGAAAATCACGGACTAGGGAAGAGCAGGCAGGCTTCCGCTCAGGAGGTGACTGTATAGACCACATATTCACTGTGGCAGGTGCTAGAGCAGCGCCACGCATACCGCACGCCGATAATAGCGGTGTTCGACTCAATCGATCGACGCATTCTCTTCGAAAGACTTGCGATGAAAGGTGTTCCAACGAAATATGCGAACATTTAACTTCTTCTAGACTCGAACACGACAGGCTGCGTCAGGTTCTACGATGACCTGTCGGATGACTCTCGACAACAAGTGGCGTTCGTCAGAGTTGACTGATTGTTCCATTTTTGTTCAACTTCGTCGTGGACTCTATCATGGAGTGTTCCCTTGCGTATCTTCGCGAAGCTAGAGGTGTTGCCTGATGAAAAGCTAGTTGATCTAGATTCTGCGGACGATATTGTCCTGCTTTTTAACGACTTTGGGGCAGCACAATCAACCCTGAATAACCTCACTAGAATAGTTCCATCATTTGGCATGCGCTTCGCACCTCAAAAGTGCAGTGCTGTTACAGGACCACAAGCCAGTTGACAACTCCTTGACTCTTGATAGCGAGGAACTCGAGGTAGTTGATCGCTTCACCTTTCTTGGTAGCGTGCTCAGCAACGACGGGCGCATTTCAGCTGAAGTCAGTTCACCTATTGTCAAAGTTAGAACTGCCCACTTAAATCTGCGACATCTTTGGAGTCAGAAATGGGTCTCCCTCCGCATAAGAGGTCGTGTATACAAAGGCACAGTGAAAGCCGTCCTGCTCTATGGAAGCGAGACTTGGCCGCTCCGATCGGATGACCTGAGGCGCCTGCAAATATCTGAGTATAGTGGTTTGCGAAGCCTTGATGGTGTCGGAGGGCACCAGGGTGTCGGCAACGAAGATGTGCGTAAGAAGTGATAACTAGGCTATTTCTTTAGAATAACAGTTAGTACTGAATAAGTTGTGTTGCGTTCGGCTTGCTCTATGTATACCTCGTCACGGTTTACCGAGGAGGGCCTTGTTCGCCAGATGTGGGGTGGCGCAGGGCTCGAAGTGGAAAGAAATTAATCTGCCGGCGGGAAATGAAGTCACTGAGGACCTAACTCGGGGCAGTCGGTTCATCTCGCCTTCCAGGCTGGAGTCCATGTGACCCGCCTTGTGCTTGGTTTGAGACGTTACAGAACATGGTTCGCAGTGGACACCAGTTGCATGTCTACTGTTGCCTCTTAGTCGGATTGTCTATCTAAAGCGTGTTTTGTGCTGAGTTATTCGCGGGGTAATGGCCGATTATGATGAGGGGCGGTGAAATGCATAAGGAATCTGTCTCCCTGATGCCGCCTTATCTTTACACCATAGCTTGCTGTTTGTGGCGGTATGTTGTTGACAATGTGTTGGCGTCTTGACCGTAGAGTTTGTTTAAGCCATTAAGGTTTTATCACAGGTCCCCCTTCTCTCCCTGCTATTATTCTTTGTTCGTGGTTGTGTGGCAGCGAGGCATTAGTTCAAATGGATGACATACTGCTGTTGATGATTAAGATGATGACCAAAACAGCCTCATTCAACAAACCAGCTCCCCGAGAAAAAAGTTATTTCTTCGGAACATCTCATGCAAAAGCAGTGAAGTCACAATCGACCATTGTCGCGAATGCTCAGCTGATGTTACTGCCCGGACAAGCAGAAGACTGCCGATTGATTTCCGGCCTAAGTATACCGACGAAGATGGAATGAGGAAGCATTACAGATAAAATGACAATATGGAGTCTCAAATGAGGACGGCAGGTGAAAATGGATAAGGTGAAGTCAAGATAGATGCATTACAGAGGAAGGCTCGAAGGTAGGTTCGACAACTCGAAACCAACTTGAGTCAAGCACTATGTACGTGAACGTGTGGGTTTTTGCTCTGGGTACCCCAAGCTACAAATGTTCCAAGTAATTGCCAGACACAAAATAGAGCTGAAGATGGTAGTAGGTGAAAGCCTGCATAAGGGTAGAAAATGCATCCTGCGTCAGGTCATTACAACAAAGAGTGACAAGCATTTCGATGGATTAGCGAAATGGGAACTCGAAGAACATAATTGCATCAAACGGAAGTGGTGATGACGAGAAATGTTCGCAGCGCAAACAGGGAGTCTTGGTAGGGAGTTGTATAATAAGGACCGGTACATAGACTTACCGCTTTTAAAAATGCGTATTTCCTCTCCGCTCAACAAATTGAGGAGAAGTCGCTTCATATCAAATGGACTCATAGAGAAGAGGGCGTACAGAGAATCTTCTGCACTTAGACACATTGTTCTGGCTAGTTCTGCTCCCATCATTTGAATAATGAGTCCAATGCGCAATCGCAAAATATTCGCCAACTGTTGTGGCTTCGTCCGAGCAACCATAGACAAATATATAAGGATCTCCTAGAAAAAAAACCAAGGAACTTGATTAAAGTAGTATTCACTGGAAACAACAGAAACTTGACTGAACGGATGGAGTAATCAAATGCACCGAAGTCAGAACTGCAAAGTACGTGTCATTCTCCGGTGGATACGAACTTGCTGCAGTGAGAAATCACCCTTTGGGTAGTTGGATAGAAAACACAATCGTTTAGACAAGTTAAAGGAAATGCCAAACCCAGTCCGATCTGAGTTGAGATGCATGTTACGCCAAGAGGAAATCAGGAAACAAGGCTGTGTAGGAAGACGGTTTTTTGTATGAACGGCAATAAGAACTGTACATCAAAGAAGAACGCAGAGTAGGAGTAGGTTGTGTTTTGTCACTAATAAATAACCAAAGTAGGCGGGCCAATAGACGGCAGTGCACACATGCGCATAGCAAGCCTTAAGCAGTCCAGACGTATTCGCCATGAAAAGGTCCAAAACGCATCGCATCCAAAGACAAATACATAAAGGACGTCATATATTGGAGTGAATCAAGGTTTACAAGACAGTCACCCTGATACACGAATTAATACCTCTTGGCGCGGTCATCAAATTTGGCTGTGCTTACATTTTTCTCATCCAAGAAATTACTCACTCGCACTTTCAACGTTACTTCCTAAAAACCCTTTTACTCATTTACTTTTGTTCTACAACCAGTGCCATGGGTACAGATACCCGCGATATGCTGAGGTTGTGTTTCCGCGTAGGTCAACAAAGATAATCGTTCTATCAGGAATAAAGGAAGAAGGATTCACAAAAATGGAATAAATACATAAAAAAGCATCATGCTTGGTGGAAAGTTGCTCTGAGGAGAAAAAACTTGAAAAACATGAGCATATCCACTTTTCTAATCGCCAATGTCCGTTGACTCTTGAGAAAAATGGAGAACCTTAAAAGCACTGGCAATTATCGTGAATACGCATAACTAGGGATCATTACGCTGCACAATGATGTTGAAGACGCAGTTGTTGCAACTGACCGTAACATTTGATTTCATGCTGATCGCCCGTGTACATACCGGAATCGTGGTGGCGGTTCATAACTTTTATTAACTCTCCTTGGTGCCTATCATCAAAAAGCCTCTTCTGCTACTAGTCACGACGTATCGGCTGCTTGGTCCTAAAGGGTAAGCTAAAATATATGGATGGGTACCAGTTAATGTTACTGACCAACATCAATATATCCCCCAACTGTCCAAACTCAGAAGTCGACAAATTTCATGAATTACGCAAGCTGTTATCGGCAAAATCGATCCTGTGGCTGTTTGCTGGAGATTTCAATAAATTTGATATCACATTCTATACAACTCCTGGGCTACAGAATATGGTAAAATGTCTCACCAGGTTAGAAGCAACCCTAGACTTAGTATTTGTCAGTAATCTGAAGATATTTCCGGTCTACAATCCGGCGCACCTTCGCAACTCACATCATCCTATATTCAAGTTAACCCCTATTGTCTAAAGTAAGACAAACTACAAGAATGCCGCCCGCTGCGATGATCGTAGGTGGAAACAGAGCAGGAATGAGAGAAAGGACTGCTTCCAAAGATTTAATTTTGTTTTCCGACACACATGTATCAACATACAGTGACCAAATGACAAGTTATTTGAATTTTTGTTATTATCTTTGCTGTCTGTTGGGAAACATCTTCATCCGTGCTGATCGCTTTTCATCAACCCATCTCAGCAGCTTTGTAAGCTCAAGAGATTTTCCGTTCGTGTTAAGGAAAAAGTGCACCAACTCACTCATGTCTATGTCCAGACAATTCTGGGAAACAGTTGTCGTGAGGTTTGGCGAAGGATGAAACGACTCAGCGGAGTCATCCGTTAAAGCACAAATTCTCAGGTGGACGTGAAGTATTAAATCGCAATTTCTGTTGAATCAGCAGCGACTCATTAGCTGCACAAGAAGCTGCACTCAGGCAAAGTATGTGGACCTGATAGATTGTCTCCCGTCGTCCTCAAGTAGTGCGCCAACTCTTTAGTCAAGCCTCCGGCCGAATTATACACAATGTGCTTAAATCAAGGAAAAATCGCGGATGGTTTTATGGTTGCCAGCATAACGCTTGACGCTTGAAAAAATGCTGTTAAAATATACAGATGCCGTTATCATCAGCGAGAATCATCAAACCAGCCTACTCAGCCAAGGTGCAGAGTCGACTGAATGACTCAGTGCAATGGTCGAAATTCCGCTGTTTGACGCTGAACATTTCCAGGTGTAATGACGCACTGTTTTTATTTTATAAAGAAGCTCGTTACCAGGAACTTGTCATGAAATTTCACAAACTTCAGGTAGTAAGTGACAGTTTGTGCTTCTGCACGTCGATGAAGTATCTTGGAGTTGCACTGAAAAACGATTTATCGTGATCACTCCACATGAATCAAATATGCAACAGTCAGACTAGTTTCGTTTCCCTCGCTGGATTGTGATCATCCTGTGTGCCATACAATTTGATTCTGAAGTTCATCACTGCGTGCATTCTACCACACTGGACTTATTGCAATCCTGTGCTGTTTCCAAACTTACTGTGTAAACATTTCAACTTGCTTGACAAGTCATTGAAGCACTTGTCTCGCCCCCATGGTATTCCAAAGGCAACTTTACCAAAAAAAATCGTACCTAGGCACGATAATTCATACATTGAACTCGTTTCAAAAATACTCACTGCAATTAGCCACCCCCTTCACGCGGCACTTTCCTCGCCGACCAGACAAAAGTATGGAGCTATGTATGCCCCCATGAGGACTTATGGTTGATCTGTCATCCTCTATTTAACCACACATATATTTGACCCAAACGCTAGCCGGTAAAATACTGCCAGTAAGGTTGTTCCCAATTAAATTTTCTGTTTGCCATTACTCTGTCGAACTTGAACAGCTCTTTTGTCATGTCGATAGCATGGGTCTCAAGGCTAAGTTCACATCTCACGGGTGCATACAAACTGATTATGGCCTAGACACACACGCATATATATATATATATATATATATATATATATATATATATATATATATATATATAGTTAAAAATGTGCTTTTATGCACCTGTGTCGGGTGAAGTTTCAGCTGGGCATGACCATAAGCTTGTAAATGATACGTTAAAGTATTCTGGTGTTCGATTCCGTTGTGTTTACGAAACGTTGCTAATTCAAAAGACGTAAATTGCGGTGCGTTTCTGACACAATGGTTTCTGTTAAGCCATGCTGGCTGAGAATGCGTCCCAATGCGTGTACTGTACTGGTTGCTGACATATTCCGTATCATGGTTATTTCTGGAAGAAATGCGAAGTGATTTGGCTTGATAAATTTGAAGCGGTGCGAACATCAAACGATGGGGTGATTGCACATGCGCAGTCCATCGCACTGAATGCGGAAGACACTCGAGTCAACCACAGTGTCGAAAACATGTTGACTTGTGCAAACGCTTTCGACACACTCCTTTCTGCCTTCAATGACGCAATTCTGTAAAGCGAGATAAGAGAGGTGCGAGCCACGAACGTAGTCACGAGCATTAAAAGCGGAAGAACGTGGGCAGACACCCTCCAAATCTATACCGTGGCTTTCGATCCGATTGCTAGCGGCTGCCTACATGAACGCGGCTAGGCCCAGTGATAGAGAGCATGAGATCGACTTCGATAACCTCAAAATCGTTAGAAAGGAGTTGCGATCAGCTCCCCAGAGGCTGACTGCTTGAGATTAGCATAGTGAACAGCTTCGTGAACAGAATGGACGGGACAGAGCTTTCGAGCGCAAAGCGAATTTCTACTAGGGCTTTACAGAAACAATGTATAAAATCGGTCAGGGCACTAAGCGATAGTTAGCGCGAATTGCCAGCAGTATGGATATATCATTTAAGCTGCAGAGCACAAGTTGTTACTTCAGGGCTGAAATGAACCCTGACCTAAGCCAAGAAAATCCTAGCTGGGCTCACCTCTACCAGAATAAGGAGATAAGGGCACGGGCATCAAGACAGATGGTGACAAGATCGTCACACAGTGTTCGACAGTCAACATAAGCTACAATGAGGCTACACGAGAACAATGAGGAGCCAACCCCACCGGTTTGAGGTTAACAAACATATAAGCGCATTTGTTGCCATACCCTAAGCTTCAAATGCAATCGCTTGTACGCTAACGATCAATTATATCTCTTCCCGTTGGCTGACTTGCAGAACTACCTCCTCGTGGTGCCAGCTGGGTGGTTCGGGTGTACCTCGTTCCAGCAAAGTGTTCGGCGACAATGTTCCACCTCGGTAGGGCATTGTAGTCAGGCAATTGTGCTGATTTCACGGGGAGTATTGGGCCCCTGTTTGGTGATCTACAAAACAAAGACGCATGAACTGAACATTCAGTCAGCATCTCCCAATGGGCGCAATTCCCTGAATTCGTCCCGCTTTCTTGAGGGTAGGTTATTTAACCAAAGGTTCGGAGTGGAGTCCCCTAAGTCAACTCCCTACTTCGGCTTGGGCAACCGGTAGCATCACGCCCTCTTACAAAACCATGGACTGTACTACAACGTGCTCATTAGCTACTGTTACTGCTTCTCACATTCACGCGACTTCATCACACGCCAATTGTTTGTTTGCTAATAATCTTCCCTTTCCGTTACCCGATTCATCTGTTCAACAATCTGGCTACGATTCCGGCTGCGCCACGGACCAAGGAGTTCAACCTATGACTCTTCTTCGTCCCTGATCTTCGTTCCGTCTGGCGTGCTTCAACGTTCGGACACTCATGCAGATTGGACAACAAGCCGGTCCAGTGCGCACCCTACAGTCTCTAGACATTGATGTCTGCTGCCTTTCAGAAACCCAGCTGTAAGACCCCAGCATTGTGCTCACCTTGACATCCCCCAGTGACCACGAAGCCAGATATCACCTGCGTCTTTCTTGAGATCCAAAAGCAGCCTCAGCGTGTTTGGCTGGTGTAGGCATAGGACTAAGTGGCAAGGCCGAGGCGGCACTACTGGACTGGTTCCCGAT